CATAACAGGTGACTGCAGGTCGGGACTTCATGGACGGCTCCCAGATGGGGTGTAGGCAATCGGCAGGCTTGCAGTCCAGAACCTCCACCAGTGTCGCGGTTCTACGTAAGCAGACCACCGAGACGTTGAGTCTGAGAACCGACGGCGTGTTTTTATGCAGCAGCCAAGAGCAAAGACATAAACAAAAGCACGTCGTCTTTTTCAGTCACTGTCCCTTTTCACCAGACTGTTGGAGCGCACATCGTCTTCGTTCTCTGTCTATTTCGAGCGCGGCCATACAATGAACCTATCGTCTTTGCAAAGTCACAAGCACCGCTAGACGGCTTTAACGGACTCGCCTCAGTCTTCAGCCGTATAATATACGAAATGCTTAAACGTCCACCCCCTGAACCCCAAAAAACCCTTCTTTTCTTTTATAACACCGTTTGGTTTTCCGGTGAGATCCCATCTGCCTGGAAAGAAGCTATCAATATTTCGATTCTTAAACAGGGCAAGGACCCAGCTTGAGCATCAAGCTGCAGACCCATAGCGTTGACGAGTAGGCTTTTGAAAAATGATTAACAGACAACTTGGGCACTTCCTTGAAACAAATAACCTACTTAACTCATAGCAGTGCGAGTTTTGAGAAGCTAAATCCACTACTGACCACCTTGTCCATGTCGAGGTAGAGATTAATGATGCTTTCATTCATAAACAATTCTTCCTTCCTGTGTTCTTTGATATGAAGAACAATGACGACGCTCCGTGGTACCGTGGCATACTGCGAGACTTGCCACATTTAGGTGTGCGGGGCAGAATTTTCGCAATAATCAAAGGCTACCTGTCCAATCGGACATTCCGTGTTCGAGTATAGGCACTGCTTTGTCCCGTTAATTTGTCCAAGAAGTAGGAGTGCCGCAGAAAGGCGTATGAGTTGCACGCCTTTTATAGTCGAAATGAACTCATTGCGCCTCACCATCCCACACAAGTATGTTTTACTGCATGTGTGTAGACAATGTACAGGTTTGTTTTAAATCGTGTAACCTCTCTACATGTGAACGCCAGCTTCAATTAGGCTTGTACAAGGTCACTCAGTGGGCAAACAACAATAAGTTTAAATTCAACGCACAAAAGAGCGCTCGCGTCTTATGCTGCAAAAAGAGGGGCCTTCACCCCGATCCCGGCATCTGCCATCAAGGTCAGCTTCTGTCTGTAAAGACTGACCATACCTTTCTGGGCATACTATTAGACTCAACACTGACCTTCACACCACACATTAAGTTTCCTGACTATTCTGAAAGTGTTGTCTCGAACCACGTGGTGTACTGACAAAAAGTGCTTTCTGAACCTTTACAAAAGCGTCACTGGTGCGAATGAGGCTTTATAAGAGCCTCATTCACATTCGACTGGACTACAGGACTGCTAATCGATCTGCGACACCTAGTGCTTTGGAGACGCTGGACCCTGTGTACCATTTGGGCGTCCGCCTTTCTACGGACGCTTTTCACACTATAGCCCCGCGGAAAGCCTGTGAGTGTTATTGAGTTAGTGGTTGCTCCACCTACAGAGAAGTTACGTGTCTTTTGTGTACTTTCTGATGATAAAGGCAGGCAAGGAACGCCCTTAGCATTCTGCATTTATAGAAATCTCCAGTTCTGCTCTGTTTGAAAAGCGGCATTGTTTGAGACAACCCTACTCACGTCGTGTGAGAGGCATCTCTGAGGAAACAGGTGTCCCACTTCTCGAATACCTTTTGATGGCTCCTGCAGCATACCTACCCCCGTGGCGGTGGCAGACGATATATTGCGAAGTGCCTTTCTTAGATGTTACGAAGCATTGCACATATCCAAACATACTTCCTGGAACTGCAACATAAGTACACATGCCCTCAGTTCTTTACAATGTCTCAAAGTCCAACGCTTCTGTGTCATATTCAGTGGTAGGCCCGTCTTTTTCAGATGCCGCCGTTCTCAATCCTGATACAGTAATTTTTACAGGAGAAGCTTATGTGATACAGGCGGTCGTTAAAGACATTAAACTGGTAAACCATATAAGGCGGTAGCATACGAAGATTATCTAACTATGCTAAAAGCTCTGAAAACTCTCAAAAAGCCCAAAAAGCCCGTCCTTGTCTTTCCCTACTCACTTTTATGCAAAGGGCACACATCTAAACAGCACGTCGTAGTATGCTGGATGCTAGGGCACCATGTGATACAAGTAAACGTTTTGGCGGACCAGCTAGCCGCATCCGCCAACAAAACAGCTGCCAGTACATCAATACCATTACATGCACTTGACCTGAAACCCTACCTTAAAATGAAACTCATGGATTACTGGCAGCAATAATGCGGCAGACAAATACAGAATAAACCTCATCGTTTAAGGCCACATCTAGAGAATTGGCCTCCAGTATCAAGGCCACGCCACAGAGAAGTCGCACTTACCAGAGTAAGAACAGGAAATGCTCTACACATTCACACCATTAGTCTGGTGGTGATCCATCATTGTGTGAGAGATGTGGAGAACTACTCACGGTTCTCCACATCCTCGTGAACCGCAATGAGCTAGATGCCCTAAGAAAAAAAGCACGTTTTATTACCCTACCGACAGCAGCTGCCGCTACATTCTGTCATGCTCATTGGTACAGATCCACTTTTTACACTTGCATCACTGTTTACGTTACATGTGATGTACATATAGGTTGCGCCCCATATACTGAGCTGACCCGTAGCATGACCTCTGTACCGCAGTTGCGGCTGTGATGGCTACATTATCACCATGGTTTTATTATCACGGTTTTTCGCCATTCACAGTCACTGCACATATTTCGCGTCACTGTCATGATTTTAATACTTGCATGTTTTTACCCGTGTAACCACGAGGAATTTAAGGCCCCTATACAGCCACATAGCATACCATTGTTCAAATCCCTTGTTGAATCAAATGACACTCTTTGGACATTAATTCGCCCTTGCTTCATAAAGCACCACACATCATCGACATCATCATTATCATCATCATTTAAAATCGCGTGCAAACAATAAGTTATTCTGCAAGTTGTTTGCATGATCCCTCATTCGATCATTAGCGTGTGGATGAGTTTGTCCTTGGTAACATTTGCCTGAAGAGCGGAAATTTGATGCACCGTACATAACTGCCTTTCAAAGGAGGAGGAGGATTGAAAGAGGAAGGACAGGGAGGTTAGCCAGCCTTTCAAAGGGCTGCTCATTCGCGCAGGGACACAACTGGGTGAGCCTATCAGCAGCGGAGAGCGCGATTTTGTGCGGCCTACTATGCGACTCTCCTTTTTCTAAAAGTCTGGCTTACTTTATGGCCACACGCCACAACGTGATGCCTTAGGCCACACCACTCATCGGCTCTAGCACTATTGACTGGTGTGTCCTCTTTTATCTTGTCTCGCTTGTTTCTGTGCCTTTGCATTTCTCTCTTCGTGCTACAATATGAAGACGTGCATTGCTTGCATCTCCATGCCTGGCCGTTCTCGCACTGAGTGTGAATGAAGACTCGCGCTCTTTTCTGACATCCGCGAAATTCGTAAAGGCGTTCACTCTGAAAGTACACATTTAGTGCCGCTGTTGATGTTGTGAGCTTTAAGGAACAACCGCTCGGTTACCGTATGATGTGCACGACTTCAGTGTAACAGCAGCTTAGTTTTTTTATCCCAATTAGCCTAATTATTTGGTCGAACCAAGCCACTCAACGTTCTTTTTAGCTTGAAAAAAAACTTTGTTCCCTCTGTTTTCTTGCACTATTTTTTGAAGCCCGAATTCACGGGTGGGATAGACAATATCAGTGCATGGTAGAAGCCAGTATCGCTGCCGAATAACTCTTGACAGACGCTCTGACGACCAAGAAGGTGGGTCTATAAGTGGGACACAGCTGAACTCCCCCCTCCCCCTTCAATGTAGACTCTAAAAGTATTTGTTAAATAACATAAAATGTATAGGTATTTTTCTGTTTCACCTACATGAATTTTCTTAGAATAGGTAAAGTGGATAATCTGCTTTTCAAAAGATGTCACATGCCAGTCTTACCTAGCAAACTGAAAATAGTTTTTGCAAATATCAGAACCACCTCTTAATATATACTGAACACTGTTACGTTCTATTTGTTCTTCAACAGAAAGGTTATGTTAGAGCTGCCAAGACGTTCTCCATAGAATCAATTCGCTGACAGGTTTGCTACCATGCTTCATTTGCTGCAGAAGTGTGACACTTGAAATATTAAAAACCCTCTATAAAAATACGTGAGGCTAATCCTGAAGATCATGCAAATTAGATTTCCAAGCTGCACAAACACCAGGGGCATTTCGGTGATCGTGACAAGTGCCTTCCGCTGAGAAAGTTCTTGACCATAGCAATAAAATGAAAAAAAGGTATACCTACTCAACATTACAATAACGTTGAAGAAAATGACACGAAACATAGCACATGCTGGACGTAATTGGCAACAAAGCGTGAACTTACTTGATCTCGGGAGAGAAAACTTCTGTTGGACAACGAAGAAAAAAACCATTAACAGAAGAATCGTGTGCAAATAAACAAACGTGTTTTAGGAATAAATCCCAAACTCAGAAGCTCTGAAGAAAAACAGAAAAGTAATAACAGACAACGTATGCAAACTTCATGCCAAATCGAAAACAGAAAACAGACAAGAATAGAGCTGTTATTTCACTAAATTTTCCATGCATTATCTGTTTTCCTCTCAACAACTTTTTTTTTTCAGTGTCTACGGTCACTAAGTATAGATATTCTCAGTGCCACAAAAACTCTTTCTTAAGCTATGAAAATCACGACCATCTCCCTTGTTTGTCGTTAGTGAACCCATATATATTATGCAACACAACGTACACAAGATTGCTCATGTGTAACTACACGGCGAGGATGATGTGACCCTACAAGATAATGCAGCGGGACAATCGAGGGGGGTCTCCGAACATTGCCCCCTCATTCAACGAAGGAGAAAGAAGAAGAAGAGGCTCAGTTTGCAGGACGTTTATTATGAAATGACACGGGCTTCCGGCGCCGCAGGGGCTGGGCGGCGCCTCTGCCAGCGACTGCGACGCCGCGTAGTCTGGTCGGATCTGTACAGCAGGGTTCCTCCTATGCTCCGTATGTACACCGTAGAAAATGAGTCCGTCATAATACACACTGTACAAGGCAACGGCCGCTCAGCGTCACTTGGCACCCGAGGTGACGATGGAGCCGCCGTATGACTGGCCGTTGCACGTAGGCAGCGCGAATGGGTTCATGGCGGCGAAGTGGGACGGTACTATGCCTCCCATGCCTGCGACAGAGGAAGGCGATCACTTAGCACACATCTACACTGGCTGCCCACTGTCGATAAGTGCCTGCTGCAAAAAGCATTCCACAAAAGTTCATGACGCGGTCTCTGCGATGAAATGGCGCTAACTGGCATGGGATTAATCACGGCATACCAGCCTTTCCCTGCAAATAAACGAGCACAATAAGCGCCTTGGTGGACGCCTCCTATAGTGATAATAGTGAAGCAAATAAAGGGCCCGCTACGGAAGCCTTAATTGTATTTAATTAACAACGAGAAAAAGAATGCTCTATTTTATTTGACCTGTGTAGTTTTTATTTTATTTAGGAGCACCCGAAAAAGTGAAGGATCACGTGCTGTAAGCGTGTTCCCGATGATTTGCTGCCAGTGGAAAGAGCTTGATAACACCATATGTATGTTCAAGGGCATGTTTTTTTGCGTGCGTGTATATTTACAGATCAAAGAATGAAAAATTTCACACTCCCTAAATGTGACAAGGAGTCCCCTTTTTTGCTCGTTTCAGCAAGTAAAACACGCACTGTCAAATATGATGGTGCCTCGCTAATAGAACATCTGGTCTGCATACTAAAGGCAACATCTGTCTAAATATCAAGCGTTACCTATTTTTATCGTTTTCGCAAACATGTTGTACTCGATGTGCTGTTGAATTTCTATTTAGCTTCGTTTCTCTTGGTTGTTATTATTCACTTGCATAGTAACCCTGCTTCTCGAATGGGTTTACTTGCGATTTGATTGTAACCCCGCTTACCCAATTTCTTTGGCGCTGTAAGGTACCTTTCACTAAAGAAATAAACTCATGATAGCGTGAACATTGTCCCATTCAGAGCATTTAAGGGAGGGTGGACGAAATTCCTGCCTACCCAAGTACATACAAAACGTGCAAGTACACTTTTGTTACTGCATTGCTTAAATCGGATTTCCTGCATTTTCATCAGAGAACGTTATGATAAGAAATACGCTTAATCAAATACATACTATATCTACAAATACCTCATTGGACGCTAGAAACATCTGTCGAAGTTGTGCAAATTTCACATAAGTGCACAAATTACATACTGTATGAAATCTCGGGACACGTGTTTTTGTTGCAATGCTTATAAAAAGGCTTCGCAATAATCCTGCACTCGTAAATAAAAAAATACTTATTCTAAGAAGGCGTAAAAGTGTGATTGGCATGATATTTCAACTGGTTTCAGTGTGCTATTATATCTTTTTTTTTTCTTTTTTTGTTTGTTCATTATTCATTACCGTTTAGTATTATTCTTTTATGTTTTTTTCACTGCATAATTTATTGATATAGAGTATCCGAGGCAATATGGACCTCAACCTCTCCCCAGCGAAACAGAACAGAACAGAACCTAATTTTTTCTTCAGATGTATTGTGGGCGCAGTGCACTGGCTTGAGATATCTGTTCAATACTGCGTTACAAAGCTGCGATCGAAAGTATGCTTTCTCGCAATTCATATTTTTGAACCAATTTTATTTTAAATGTTCTCATGCTAATACAAAATCCGACAGTCACAGTTTTTAAATCTAAACATTTAACTGTAATAAAATTGTATGCAGTACCTCTGTAAAAGCCTTGGATCTCAATGTTATCGCATCAATTGGCTTCGCTACAGGCAATGTACAAAATTATTCTTTATCTTTGCAGCTCTCGAATGAGCGGGCTACGAAACTTATATTAAATAGTCAGCTGACAGCGAAACAATATCCCCCAAATCCCCAGTGCTCTGGACGCTTTCTATTAGTAAGGGTTCTGTATCAACGTATGGTTATCTTAGCCTTATATGCGGAATTTTGAGCCAGAACATGTTTGAAAAGTCGGGTAGCCTTAGCGTTGCTATCCTTCACTCGCAGGTCGTGGGATGGAGTCCCAGCGGACACGTTTCGACGAAGCTTAAATGCTAGAGGCTTATGAGCTTCGATTTAGGCACTCGTCCATTAACCCCCAGGTGCTCGATATTACTCGAGCAGTCCACTACGGCGTCTCATAATCACATCTTGCTTTTCGGACGTTAAACCCGGCCATTATTATGATATTGTATTCGTAGAACAGCCATTGATCCCCATTTATGAACCAAGCTATGAGGTGGCCCAGTCCGGAAAACTTTGCAGAAAAGATTCAGAATGGAAGACAAGTGGAAATGATACATGATTTCTTCAGAAGGGCCGCAACACTTCATGGCCTCTTTTGTCAGAAAGCGGGAGTTCACGGTTGAGTAGTTGAGCAGTGCAGGGCATCCTTCGGTCGCACGCCCAAACTGAGCCGACTTCCACCATCGTAATTGTGCATTTTTGAGCTCATGCCACTGCACAACGAAAAGCGGTCGCGGGTGGCTTCCTCGACCAGGATAAAAAAACAACAACAACAAAACAATTAGGATGAAATAATGGCCAAATTGTTCAAGCCGACGCTTCAAAAAGTGGGCTTCGTAAAAGCAGAGCAGCGTCTACCAACCACAAGACGCCATTTCGCCATCCCTTCTGTCCCCTTCCTTCTGCAGTAGGGGCAGAGTGAACATATACAAGCTTCTATGGAAGGGCTGTATTCACGAAGCCATATCCAAACATCGGCTCTAGCAGGATGTGGCTTTAAGCCCCTGGGCTTGCGTCGAGTACGAATGTTTATGAAATATCATACAGGCTAGCTGCGCAGTCATTTGGTGACACGGCAGCGGCGGCGTCAGCCGGGAGGCCCCGGCCGAAACCGGCACACGCACCGTTCAAGAGTCCCGGCGACCCGGGTAGCTGCCCCGCGGCGGCGTACGTGGCGGCGTATGGCCCCCCGGCGGCGCCGCTGCTGCTGTGTGGCGTCGAGGCGTTCGAGCCGTAGCCCCGAGGCGACACGCTGCTGCTCTGCGAGCGGCCGTACTCTGCAAGCAGCGGCAGCCGAAGTCAGTGGGCTCAAGTCCGAGCTCCGCCCCATCACATCCGTGCAGCACGCCGCTTCGAGACGGGGCATCCGCGTGACTCCCCGGCCGAGGGTGTGCCGAACACTACTCGTCTGTACGTGCGTTCTAGCGACAGCCTGCTTCCCTGAAAACTTAGCTCGGGCTGTGCTGCACGAAACTGGTGAGGCGGAGTGCGGCGTACACATCAGATCCCAAGAGCAAAGCCATTGTCACTGTTATATGTTTGGCGAAAGGCTACAAACACCTCGGCTGCACTGCAGCTGCACTATGCTTGTTCAGTTGCAAACATTCAGAGTAATCGCGGCTACAAACACCTCGGCTGCACTGCAGCTGCACTATGCTTGTTCAGTTGCAAACATTCAGAGTATTGGATCAATCGCGGAAATACAACGTACCACTTTCAGGTGAAGAACGAAATGTACAATAACTACAGTTCAGTTTGTGTTTCTTGCAGACTATTCTTTCAATAAAAAATGATGGGGTTGCAACAAGCCGCGGCTATTTGGACTGCTGATGGCTCTGAACCATGCGCGATCCGCTCGGTATCGAAACACAAATCTGCGCGTTTCTAAAGAGGAAGGCCTTTTTCAAAGCACCCTATAGAAAGAAGACAATTTCCTTTCGTTTTTTTTTGCCTTTTTGGGAGCTTGTCAGTATTGCTCTCATCATGGCCAACATGGTCTCCTAAAAGCAACACAACTTTTACCGCTTATTTTCAATGGGGACACTGCACTCTAAAGTCTGTGCAAACCCGCACAATTAGTCCTTATGAATGCCACTTCTGATTGTTACTGCTAGCATAATGTTAGTTAGCATTATCGACTATGCGGACCCAAGTATTTGACTCTTTTAATGTCCTAGTTGGCATTGATTCATCTTGAATCTGCGTCAAACAATCTGGGACACAAAAATAACCTTCTCCTCGTGTATCTTCTTTCAAGCTGCATGGAGAGGTCATTTTCTGTGCTTATTGATGTTCAAGCTGAAAAAAAAAATACTGGGTGATTCATTCATCTTTAAACTCGCAGGACCAGTGCGATCTAGTCTGACCATTTGGATGCTCGTCCTTGTGACTGTCACTTTTTATTATTTGATGCCATCACCCACGTGCATCTCGGAAAACGAGACTGTATGTCTCACACTGGCTTCTCCGTAGAAATAAAATTTCCGCGTTTCAATTGGGACAGTAAGCTTAACGGTGTTCGAGCCTTCAGGTATACAGCCACGTCCACGACTGCATATAGCGCGTGAGCAACCGGCCTTGCTCTGCGAGGCCACACCTTGGCATCTGCGAACTCTGATCATGTGTGGCCCTTGCTTTGCACGAGTGACATCGTTGAAAGGTGCGCTTGTTTAACCAAAAGATGCACCCTCACTCAGGTGCTTTAGACATCTAGACTGTAAAAGATGACGCAGTTCAATGATCAGAAGTGTTTCTACGGATAACACGCGCCTGGGCGGGTGTTATCCCTCGAAACACTACATATTGTAGAATCTAGATGCCGAAAGCACCCAGGGGAACGTGCATATCTTAACGAAAGCGTGCATATCTTCAGGTAAATAAACAAGCGCACTTTTAAACTTTGTCACTCGCATGTCAGCACGTTAATTGGGCCGCGCAAGCTCCTTGTCTGAGCTTGGAGATGCCGCAAAGTGTCGCCTCGCAGAGCAACGCCGGCTGTTCGCGCGCTTACACATTTGCGGACGCCACTGTGCCTTTCAAATATGCTTCATTGCAAAGCATTCCACAAAGTAAAAAAGAAAGTGGCGTTTTAGGAAGCCAGGCCGCTTTGAGCCTTGAAGGTCCTTATCATCGCCCAAAAGGATCAGTGAAAAAAGAATCGCAGACTTTCTCCTGCTGGCATGTTGACGCAAAACAGGGAGAAAATAATACCAACACTTTTCACTAACTAACATAGTTAGGCTGCAGCAAAAACTGTAATATGCTTACGTTGGTAATACCACTGTGTCACTTATCTGTACAGAATCTCCAAATTCTGGTATTTGAACGCGTGCTAAACAAACCAGACGAAACGGGAAATATATTATTATTCATTAGAGCTTTTTATTCAGAGCCCACAAGCGAGTCTTTCATCAGTCTCAATAGCGAACGTGTTCAGCAGTAACTTTTAGTGCAGCAAGCTTTGAAGAAGCGACTACAATTAGGGCCCATTAATCTATCCTTGAGGTACATATAACCCTGTTGTGATTCACAACGTGCTCACTAAACGTCGCACTCTGTTTTATTTTAATGGTGAGTCTTTCCATGCGACTAGCGTGACTAGAAGCGTTGTGCTGCTATATCAACGTGCTTATACGTGAGCGTATTGAGGTGGTGTTTTCCTTGTGTTTTTTTTAATCCTCTGCAACGATCTTTCTGTTGCTGTCTCTGCAGTTGGTTTCGTCTTGTTTACTTTGATCTTCCCGAATAACTTTAATTGAGTTAATATTGCATTTCACATGCACGAATCAAACCAAAGCGAACGTTAAAAAGCGCAAATCAACAAAACAAAAAATAAGAAAGCCTTTAGAGTGCCCAATATCTCTGAATTCTGACAATGTTTGGCGTATAGTTGGCTTTTTTGTGAGAATAACAAAGACCGCGTCGTTCGATCGGGACGCTCGCAAAGATCTCACCGTTTTCCTGGACGTTGACGGCCAGCTGACCGGCGGCGGCGTACGCGTTGAAACCGGCCGATCCTCCGGAGAGGGCAGGAGAGCGTGGCCCTTGCAGCGAGAGCTGGTTCTGCCGAGGCATGCTGTACAGTGCCTCGGCAAGGTCGGCCGCCCGCTTGAGGATGATCTCCTGCATGTAGGTGAGGGCAGCAGTCCTGAAGAAAAGTCTAGGAAGTTCCTGTATCTCCAAACACGCATCAGCATACTGGCGATGGCTTTGTGAATATCTAGCACGGTCGTGTGCCCTCGTGACCAGCTTTACTGGTCACGTGGACACACAGAGGAGAAACAAAACCAATGAAGAGAACCGGGCTGTGTTTTCGGCCAAGATGAGACAGGAAAGATTCGGCAAAACTTTCTCATTGGCGTGCAATTCGCATCTCCATCACTTAACCTTGTTGCACGTCTCTATTCGCCACGAAACGTCGATCATAACCGCATTACGATTTCAAATGCTATGTAGAGAGCATCACGTTTACGATCTGTATCTCAAGCCAGTGGGTTTGGACTGAAGTTTGGCCTTAAGAGTGCGTCATTGCGCTTGAGTTACGTAAGTCAAGCGCTGGTCGAGATACACAGCTTCAAACAAAACATTTGTCGAATTTAAAAATAATTCTCTCTAGTAACTTAGACTAATTTTAGCTAATACATAGAGCTTTCAAATGAGATATCATGCATATTTTAGTACGACCACCAAGGCAAGTTTTTTGACGCTGAATACAGAGCTTTTTCAAAAAACAAAAGGCGAACGTCACAATTTTTTTTCAGACGATCTGCTATACATTCAGCGCCTAAATTACGTTTAATTTGTGGCATGTCAAAAAAGACCACCAACACATATTTTATTTGCGCCCTTTCAACTTTCCATGTTGCCGGGGAAAAATACCGAATTCGGCAACTTTATTCGATTTTCCTTATGCGAAAAGTCCTCGAAGAATTTTGACATATATGTCAAAATTCTTACAGTTACATCACTTCAACACCTTGCTGCGAATGCAATTTTATTAAGCACTTTAAAGAAAATTCTTTTTAAATTTTTTTTGACACACTCTAGCTCAGTCGGCGCAAAACTGCCGACTCTCATAAATATACTGAAACTGTTTGGCAACGGAAATAAACCATCAGGATGAGTTCCGAACCTCGAAAAACACGTAGATTTTTTTTCCAATCATATTCATGATGGTCGGAAAAACACTAGTTGATTTGGCATGGAATCGCCTCTTTTGTACTTCGATCACCTTGATGATGATTTCTAGTGCGGACATTACTACTATAACTAGAAAGATACGACAACACAAATCATGTATAAAAATTAAAGGGGGAAGCAAGGAATACAATAGAAAGAGAAAGAATAGGAAGAAAACTTGTAAATGAGTATAAATAGCGAATAAAAAAAGACTGAAACAAATGGGCCAAAACGAAAAAAAGAAACAAAGAGAGGGGGGAACGAAACAAGTAGGCTTCGCAGCTGCACACATCCTTGGGTCTCAATAGTTGGAAGAGGAGAGGAGCGCACGTATCTGTTGTCGTGCCACGTGGCTTCGGTAAATGACACCTGGCTCGCTAGCTGCGTTCTGTACTGAAGCTGGCGTCTCGTGAACGTACGAGAAAATACCCTAGGCGGAGTATAATGACGTCTTAAGACTGATCACCCACCTTTGGAAGTTTTTCGGGGTCGCCTGGATGGCGCGGGATGAGTTTGGCTAGCCGCTGGAACCCGTAGTCGATTGTGGGCTCGTTGAGCGCTGTGCGAGACACGAGACATGAAGTGCGAACACAAAAGCCAGACACGTCACGCTATTCAACACAAGTGCAGTGAATATAATATCTGAAAAGAAACCACGTGCGTTGGTAATGCCACAGACTGTCATTTGAAAGGGAATGCGTCACTCACTAATACTGTGCTGACATCGTTATATTAGCCTGCTTATGCTAGCAGCCCTAGCGTAGGAAGACTTTTTGTGTGAAGGAGCTCTGCCCGCGTTCACCAAAGGCCACCAAGATGAACCAATATATGAGACATTCAGGCAAATGCAAATGGCAGTTTTACCTTTGCGATGACGTCTTGGTGAGCGAATAATAAATATCAAGATGCAAGTTTGTAGACAGTTTATTTTATAATACACGATGACAAGACCTTCATTTTGCTCTACCACCCTTGGGCCTTCCACTCATTTGTATGCCTGCGTCATGCGTGTTACATGGGACCCCATATGTACAAGAACCATGCTTGAGTTTCACACTCAATTACACAGTGGTGGATAGGCCACGTATGAGATTTGGTGGCGAACTAACAAGAGCTCCTTTGTAAAGCTGTATTCACATGACAGACCAAATGGCGATTAGACCCTGTGGGTTGCGTACTCCGTCACCATACGCCAGCTATGCCCCACCGCGGTGGTCTAGTGGCTAAGGTACTCGGCTGATGACCCGCAGGTCGTAGGATCCAATCGCGGCTGTGGCGGCTGCATTTCCAATGGAGGCGGAAATGCTGTAGGCCCGTGTGCTCAAATTTGGGTGCACGTTAAACAACCCCAGGTGGTCGAAATTTTCGGAGCCCTCCACTACGGCGTCTCTCATAATCATATGGTGGTTTTGGGACGTTAAACCCCACATATCAATCAATGCATTGCTGCGGTTTATGTCATTGTCCGTGGATTCCGCAGCGTCACCGCTGGCTTGATGTCGTGTGGCTGTTGGCTGCTGTGTCACGCCATTTTCGATATCACAGCTAGAGACGGCTGCACGTTGCGTGGCGGCCATGCGTTTTAGCGTAAATGCCGAATGGTTGTCGTTTAGCTGTGTAGGTATTTATTGTGGTTCTGTTTGTGAAACACAACCAAATGCCTTTCTTGCTTCCGTCTGGGCCCCTCAGTTCCTCTTTCGACGTGCCACTATGTGGCACGCATAGTCAACCTGCCATGGATCTTTGCGGGGAGCACCTGTCCTTAAATAACAAATGTGGCAAAGAAACAAAACCTTCCATTCGGGATTTGGGACAAGTATCACCAACCTGACGTTAGGCAACCAAAGGTCATACCACATATCACGGTTCTCCTTATTAGCATTAAACCTACTTAAACTTTCTGTCTTCGTTCAAGAGAATTGGAACATTCTTTTCTCTCTGGTGCTTGAACTCGAGCAACCGACAGCTTCATATCCAACCATGATAGCGTGAGCGATTAGATTGTGACAATATCGAAAGAAATAACGTGTCTACAGCTCCAAAAGCCCAGCCAGTGAAACAGAGTGCCACAGATATGTTAAACCGTAAGCCGATGCCGTTGGCGCCTCCCATGAGGTTTTGCGGCTTTATGCCTCACCTATTGAACAAGACGGAATGCGTTTTGCCGCAACGAATGCTGCCCCCAGAGATCCGCTTTTGGACACATATCTCAGAGGCCGCGCATGAACTCTAATCACGTTAGCACTTCACTGAGTTCTAACACGGCCGCCCACCTCATGAATTTTGTTGGTCGTTACGCATTCCCTGCATTGCTATTGAAGCATCCAAACAGGTTCACACGATAGTTCATACTTGTAAAATTTGTTCGAAAGACCTGTTACTGTAAATTTCATCCGCTTTCGTTGTCTTTAAGCTGGAAACGTGCTGGTGAGTTCGGTGAGTCGACGTGGTGAAGGGTGCGGTGACATCACGGCTAGCCGCATTTTTGTGTAACTGAACGCACTCCGCCGAAGTGGACATGTCCACTAGATGGACACCGCGAGAATAGCTCCCGTGGCTGCGGAGAAATCCGAATAACATCACATGTCTGGCGACTGATTCGTCCGCAATGACGTCCGTCGTGTGAATACAGAATGGGCTCAAATCTATGGCGCACACCAGATTCCCGACCCGTGCTTCTTTTATAAAGAGAATATAGTGTGACCAACAGACTATAGGGAAGCTACGGGGAAGGCACTTCACTAGTATGTTCTCAGTGCTAATTATGACATAAGGGAAGAAAAAATTTTACGTATGTCATAAATTAACCTACAACTTTCAGATCACTCGTCCGATGCTCCACCAGCTGACCTCCACTTTACTGGGTCTATGTTTCGTTTATTTTATCTACTTTGTTCGGTATATTTGTATTTCTGCTTTTTATACAAGTTATCAATACTTAACAAAGAGGACCGTAAAAATACCGCCACTGCAGCTGAATTGGTAGAGCATCACAGGAGTTATCCGAAGGTTGTAGGCTCGGTCTCTGACTACCCTATATACAGCTTCAGCATAAGAGTAACGCCCCCTACACCTTCCCCAGCTTCAAAGTGTGTTTTCTTTTTTACCAGGTTTTGTACTGCAAAGCAAAGGAGAGAATTATCCTCTTTCGTTCTTTCAGAAAGAGTGGGGACGCGTCGCAGTGATACTTCCTTCAGCAATGGCGTCCGAAGACATTATGAGCGGGTCAGCCTCACACTGAAAGCGCAGCTGCATTCATTGAATTAAGCATATCATCGAATAAAGCTTACACGGCCACTGCCAGGGAGTTCGGTTTAAACACTCAATGCGTCTGTCTCATCATGTTTTTTTCTACCTGCACTCAAGATACTCAGCGTTGCAGAACCGTGTGAACGCTCAACGAGTTTGTGGAATTCGTTCTAAAATTTGTTCAATTTCTTCAGCGTGAGTAGCCACACGTAGGAGGACGCAGCGTCCCTTTTGCGCGTACGAACATCACTCCACATCATTACATAGGGGCGAGTCATTTAAGAAAAACGTTGAAATGTAACTTGCAAATAAATAAAAACGTAGACAGAACAATTTAAAATGAAACAAACCATTGCTTGCGCGCAGACGAAAAGAAAAACAGAATGAAAAAAGCTGTATTACTATCTTAAACAATTCTAACACATCACTTGTCCCGAGAACAAATTAAACAGAACAAAGCAAAAGCACAGAATCTGATTAGAAACAAGGTAAAAATATAAGGCGCACCTATTTAAAGCTGGAATATCCGACGGCGTGCAATGCGATGCGAGGACCTACAAGAAACGTTCACTGGATAAGAAACGGAACATTTCAGCTGCAATTCGACTTCTCTAGCCAACAAAGTTTGAATAAAACGGCAAATGATGCGCAGTCAACCGGGGTTCAAAAACGCCTTGCTGTAAGCCCACAGTCAGTATATTTGCCAACAGAGTATAGTATAGCTTGTACCCCTGAAAGTAAACAGATGGTTGTCACTCTAATGCGCAGTTTTGTTATTGCTCAGATGAGTTATCACTCCAATAAAAAGTCTCACAAATGCATTCGCTAGAGTAGAAGGATTACTCCGACATATCCGGGAACCAAAAATTCTTTTGAGAGTTTTAGGTGCGAAGCAGCTGATGCCTGAGTTCAACGCCGTGTGCGGCGTGACCACCCTTACTGCGCATGCGTCAACTCTCCCCCTCTCCTCACGTGAGAGCGATGTGAGTGTTCTCCTACTCCTCGCTCCCACCTGAGGGGAGGGAGAGTGGCGCATGCACAGTGGAGGAGTGAACAGTCTCGGAGGGCTCTCTCCTCGCGTAAGCGCGAGAAGATGAGGGGGAGGAGGTGGCAGAGCACTGCCTCTGCTTAGTTTCTCCTCTCCTGTTTCTCTCTGCCACAGCTGAGTGCTCGTATACAATGCTGCGCTCGCCCGCACCGTTGCACTCAACTAGCAGCACTGGGTGTTCACTTAGCGACACACACAGTAATACACACCAATGAAAACGGGGGTAACACAAGAAGTACACAACATATACACAACTCCACACACAAATGAAACGTACATGAAAGCATGTGAATGTAAACAACAAATGGAAACACAAGTGAACACCTGCGCTGCTTGGCATCCCCACAAGGTTCCCTTTAGTGAGAGAGGGTGTATTTTTTCTTTCTTTTACCCCTTTCCGCGGCCGTCGACGAACATTGCCGTCTTCAGTTTCTCTTGCCACATCACATATGCTCGTCGTCAAGAATTGGTCCAACCCGCCCTCAATAGACGTTATTTGTCATGCTTGTGAAAGGTCCCACATTTGTCAGTTTTGGGCCATATGTGTTTCGCCTTTCAATTTATTATTTTCAGTTTTTCCTACTGCCATACAGTGAAGCCACCTTCCAGTTTTTTTTGCGATTAGTGAAAGAATGGGATGGATTGATATGCGGGGTTTAACGTCCCAAAACCACCTTTGAATATGAGAGACGCCGTAGTGGAGGGCTCCGGAAATTTCGACCACCTGGGGTTCTGTAACGTGCACCCAAATCTGAGCACACGGGCCCACAACATTTCCGCCTCCATCGGAAAAATGCAGTCGCCGCAGCCGGAATTTGATTCCGCGACCTGCTGGTCAGCAGCCGAGTACCTCAGCCACTATACCACCCTGCCGGGGCCAAGAGAAAAGTAAAGACAGCTATAAATTGGAATGCTATACGATGTAAGGCCACCAGCCAACTCATGCAACCTAGCGTACATTTACCGCAGAAAGAGACGCATGGCACTGCAGAAAGAAAGGGACATCGCGCAGTTTAAAGAATTGAACCATATTATTATTTGACAAACTTTACGCCTTGAACGAAAATAACTTTTTGTTGAATTTATTGAATTTAACCGTTTTATTATAACAAACTTTACGCCTTGAACGAAAATACCTTTTTAATTATTTCAGCAAGTTTTTCTTATGTTTCGGTAGCAAAAGAGTTATTGGAAACTCACAGATGCAAATTACATTGAGAAGCCGCCCCCAAAATATTTTGATAATAGGCAATGTCTTGAGTCTGAGGACTCCTGACTTGCAACTTTGTCTGTCTCCTTGACTTTCCCGTCAAGTTTATTGTGTCGCAACAACGTGGTTACCTGTAATAAATATTAATGGTTATTCATTTTTTGGTCAACCCTGAGAACGTGACACTTTAGCCGGCAGGTCTCTACCAGTTCTCATTCTATGACGGCGTACTTTAAAGCTAGAAACCTAGCTCATGCCTTTATTGACTTCTTGAAAGATTTCTCTTATAAACTGCCCGTAAAGTTTTTTTCTGCGTTCACATTACGTTCCTATTGAGGACTTCTCATTTTCACTGATGTCGGTGACAACCATTCAAGAATATCTCCCCGAAAGGTAATCACGGTTAAGGTGAAGAAGGCTCTGTTAAATTACTCGAAGACTACAAGTTTGCACGGGCAAAACCGCCCGCGCAAAGCTGTATACATTTAAACAAAGAAAAAGTCTTCCAACTATTTTTGGTGAGTCCTCACTTGCCACCTACGTATACGACTCTCCGATCGGAGTGTGATGATTGCCAACGAGAGTTGACGCGTCTCTTTAAAGAGAGTCCTACCTGTGGCCCTATAGGTGTGTGCAGGGTTCTCCTGCAGAGCGGGGGGGGGGGGGGGGCGAAGATTTATCGCAGCGCTCGCCTCTCCATACAGTCAATGTGTGGGCTAGACTTCACTCCCCCTTTCTGGTGAATAGGTGAGCCACCCCCTTTCCCCGTTTGCACGCCTACACCCGTGACAAGTTAGCCCCCATGAAAAAGAGTCCAAAAACTCTTCACTTAGAATGTAACAGGGATGTAATACACCGAAAGAGACTCTCTTTAAACATCCCTATCCTTCTCATTGTCCCCAAAGGTGGCTTCCTCCCTTCAACTCACAAGAAAAAAAAATTGAAGAAATATGGAATTGCAGAAACTGTTTACATCCGTTGATGGGTCGGTGGTTATCATTATTGTTGTGAAGACGCGAAAAAAGGAACAACAAAAGCCACTCTTCCTTTAACTTCACTGTGTAATCATCGTCATCATCACCATGACTATATCCACAGCAAAGGCATCTCCTATGTTCCGCCAGTCACCTCAGTCCTCGTCTTGCTGCTGCCATTTTATACCCGCAAACTTTCTAATTTCATCTGCCCACCTACCTTTGTGTCTCCTCCTCATCCACTTGCCGTCTCTGGGAAACCAGTCAGTTATTCTTAATGACCATCGGTTATCCTGCCTACGCGCTTCGTGCCCGGCCCATGTTCACTTCTTCTTCTTCATTTCAACTATGTTATCCTTAACACCGGTCTGTTCTCTGGCCCACTCTACTCTCTTTTTGTTTCTTAAGGTTACACCTCTCATTTTCCTTTCAATCGCTCGCGGCGTTGTTCTCAATTTAAGCTGAACCATCTTTGAGAGCCTTCAGGTTTCTGCTTGGTAGGTAAGTACTGGCAAGATGCAGCTACTATATACTCTCATCCTGAGGGTTAGTGGCAGATTATCATTCATATTTTGAGAATGCTTGCCGGATGGGATCCACCACATCTTTACCTTCTAGTTATTTCACTCTCATGGTTCGGCTCCGCGGTTACTACCTGTTCTAAGTAGACATATTCCTTTACAACTTCTAGCGTCTCTCCACCAATCTCAAAGTGCTGTTCTCTGCCGAGGCTGTTGCACAATACCCTTTTTTTTTCGTATTATTTTCAGATCTGCTTTTCTGCTTTCCGTGTCTAGTTCTGTAATCGTTACCTCTAATTCGTCCCGTGAGTTACTGACCAAGGCTATGTCAAGAGCTAATCGAAGGTTACTAAGATACTCTTCATTAACTCTTATCTCTAACTCTTCCAACTTTAGGCATCTGAAAACCTCCTGTGAGCACATGGTAAACAGCATTGGGGGGTGGTATCTTCTTGTCTTACACTCTTATTGATTGGTATTCTATTGCTTTCTTTGTGGAGCACTATCGTGGAAGTTGATCCTGTGTATATTTATTCCAGGATGTTTACATATGTTTCATCGAAACCCTCATTCCGCAGTGTCTGCATGACTGCTGACTGTCACCGGATACTTAGCGTTTATTTCACAGGACTGCCCTTGAACTGAGCGTTTTAGAACTTGTGTCCTGTTCGACAACAGGACATGTTGACATATTGTCACGTAGTCGTGACGTTGACAAAGGCCGCAGTCGGTATGTCCAAGATGAAACTGTGCCAGAACTTGTGGCTGGTAAATGGAAAGTCAGAATACGGCAATGCACACAGGCACTGATAGCGGCGTACAAGGCGTTAGCCTTCGATTATCTGAACTGCGGCGAGGTATATCGGCATTTATACATGTGCCGTTCAATACTCCAGCGTTATCCCAAGCAGCCACGTAAGGTCCAGAAGAATATCTCAACCTCGCTTTGAGCACGTAATCTGATCGGAAGATTCTACCGGTTCTACGATTATCTCGATGGTTATGGTTGCGTAAGGCAGCACTTACGCGCGTAATGGGGTGATAACAAGACTTGAGAAATGAGTGTGACAATATGAAAAAAAAATTGTGTGCTTAGATTTGGGTGCATGTTAAACAAACCCCAGGTGGTCGAAATTTTCGAAACCCTCCACTAAGGCGTCTCTTATAAGCATATCGTGGTTTTGGGACGTTAAACTCCACATAACAACAATATACGAAATCACAACATATGCACGATGATGTAAATGTCGATGACTGTGCGAAGCACCGGGAATCATTCAGGTAACCCTGAATTCTCCGTACATTGCCCACTCGTGCATGCAAATGCGTGGCAACACATATTGTACAGTTAGGTTCCCTGCTCCTATAGATTGGCTTGACGGCGTTTACGTTGTGCTGCTGTCTCACGTTTTCTCACCGCCTCCGGGTTCGCTTGGCGGCGCTGACGTTTCGCATAGGCCTCCCGAGCCCTCATTGCGTCTGTTCTGGCCGGTGTTGAAGGTATACTCTTCGACTTCTCTAGCCCGCAGATCGGGATCGGCTCGCTGCCGTTTTGCGGCAGCGGCTTGAGCCCTCTTCTTATCCTCCGGAGTTTTTGCTCTCGCATTTACATTCGCATTGACGTTGCCGTTTCCGGTGGCATTGTTGTTGATTTTATTACTGGAGAGAATGAGCGGAGTGTGCGCATGCCATTTTATATCGTTGAGATACCGTGGCGCCTAAAGCAGCGATTGTGGAGCATCAGATCAACCTCGAGCGAAACCGGTGCGCGGGAACTGAGCCAGGTACATGTCTGCGGTGCATGAGCAGCACTAAGAGGCGGTGCTGGCATGGACGGTGGAGTGATGGATGGAGGTAATGTAGACCATAATCTGCTTCGCGTCTAAATATTTGTAGGCGCAAGTCGTATGGTCATCTGGCTGCACCCTCTCTCACTCACCCATCACGCACACACACGCAAAGGGAGGAAGAGAGATCCTTATTTGAAAGAGGTTTTTTCCTGTGTGCATACAACCGTCGATACAATACTCTCTATAAGGCACAGGGAATGGTATAAAAGAACCAAGGATATGTAAAATAGACATAAAAAGAAAGAATATAATTGCACAAGTGAACTCCATAACTGGGTATTTGAGGCAATTTTAGGCTTTTCATTATGACATGATTCATAACTAAAAACAGTTTTCCGATTACTCACATACGTAGACGAATCTCCCCGGCGCACCTTTGCAGAACTGTTTGGATTTGTACGACAGCGTCACTTCGACGACGCCGGGGATGTGTCGTGGAGGCGTTTGCACCCGGATAGCGTGAGACGTGATAAGCTGTGGGGTGAAACGAATCAGTCACACTATATTATTGAATTGTTGACCCTACACTTCCATAACATCAATATCTTTAGCCTATTTAGGGTGCAGCCGCGTGATTAGAATTGTATTTCCAATGGTGATGAGTATATGAAATATTGGGTACGAGTGGAAAAATAACACGTACTTGTTAATATGAAAAAGAGCGAGTGAAACTTTCAGCAGAATAAACTGAAAGAAGAAATCTCGTTCGATCAACCCAAGACGGGCTTAGGCACGCTGCTTTTTAGGAGTGCAACCAGCATCGATGTACGTTTATTCGTGAACGCTGTAACTGTAACGGACGCTACAGGGTAGCTTTCTAATGCAATACAAATTTCAGCCAAAGGGTGAAGCAATCGATGTGATTGCGAGAAATCAGAATGCCCCACGTGAAATGGCAAGAAGCGTGGCGCTTGCAGTGTGCAGCTCAACACTAAGAAGAACGCAAGAACGCACTGGGACGCGCAGGACAAGCGAGCACTAACAAGTGTCACAGTTTTCAACTCTTTGTGTTTGAGCAGCACAGTGCAAGTGTCGACCACACACAACCAAGTGCGAACGCGGCCAACCAAACGTGACCACATTGGCTGCATCAGTGCAGCCGATAAAATAAAATGTGAATTATGTCAATTCATATGGTACCACTTGTTTGGCCAATTGCTATAAAACAATTTTATACTTAATCTCAAGTCACTACTCATTCAAAACTATGATGGGTTATTCATTTTATTCTTAGCTTGCCTTATCTTGCGCCTTGACGAAAAGTTTCAGTATGCTGCACGTTCAAAGTTTTTTTTTTTTAAGCACAAAGTTTTCACCAGTAATACATTTACATTTTCTGTTCTATAAGTTTCTATACCAAATTGCTTAAGCACTTCGACTGCGAATAAAAATTAGTGCCAGAATATTGTAACAAATTTGGGAAATGTAGCATTTTGACTAATATTGCGGTTTATTTTCATTCGCTCCCGAAGTAGTTGTATAATTTAATAGAGGAACATATAAAACATGAAATGTGAATTTATTTCTAGCGAAAAAATGTTGGATATTTATTGAATGCTCTAAACATGCAGCATATTGCAACTTTGTGCCAAGGCGAAAAATAAATAGCGTTAAAAATGAAGTTCATTGTTTATTATAGTCGTGAAAGACTAGCACTTTGAGGTTAAGGAAAACATTATTTTGTAGTAAATGATCAAACCAGTAATATTATATAAACTATTTAGCAAGATACAGTTCCACTTCCCTGCCCAAAGTTTGAAATGCCCTTTAGGCCACACGATTTTTATTTTTTGCGAAATACAATGCCTCAGTTACTACTTTTAACATTCACATATACCTGCACGACCTTTTTGGGCAGGATCGGAAATGGTCGAAATTTGTCTGGGTACACTTGAAATGAACTGATCATTTCAAAAAGACACATTGTTCTGAGTCAGTTCATTGAGAACAGTGAGTTCTTAGAAAAATTGGGAGAGAAAACATTTTTTGGTCGCCTGGAAGCATTTCATTGTTCGTGTAATGTTTGAGTGTGGTTCATTAGAAAAAATATTCTGAGAGTATGTTTTTGTCAATTATCAAATTTGGTTCGTATATTAAGCGAAGACAAAGCTGTAACTTGAATAATTTTCTTCCTTAAAGCACAAACATAATTGCTAAAACTTGCCATATAAAAAGAACTATTCTTCTGCTCTCGATTGAGGTAAAAAGCTGTTTTTCGATTGCAGCACCAGATTGTGGAAATTTCATCCCAATGTGATTGGTGGCAGGGCTGCTGAAGTTAAGCGAAATGACTTTGAAGAATTATGGTTTGGAATGGTGTTTATGATCGCTATACATTATGATCACCTACGTCTCTTACTAGAAATTATACATGATGTGTTTATGCAGTTGTGGGCTCTATTTACATTTTATAATATGACTATATTCATCATAACACATACATATTACTAGTTTTGCATGTGACAAATACCGTTACATTTGTTGTTCAGGATTTGTATCTGGTGTCCTATCATTTCATTACACAGTGTCTCTCTCACTCTAGGCAGTGCAATTGACACATTTCCGGAATTTCACTTCCGGAAATGCCAAGTATCTGATTGGCAAAGAATACGTAGCATGTATATATTGTGCCATTCTCTTTTTCTTTCCAGGTACAAGAGACAGATCAACCTGACTAAAGAGCATGGTAATGGCAGAGTAAGCGGAGTTGCACCGAGGGTGATCAGCTTTTTGAAAGCACTTTGAAGAATACAGGTGCAAGTATCGACAAAAGCTTTTGTTGCATATTTTATGAGGTGCTACCCATGTCGAGTGACAGTGCCATGGCGATGCAGAGTTCATAATGGCACAGAGTACAGTTGTTTTTTTGGGCCATTACTGACAATGTAGTTACACTTCATGTTGAGAGCCTGTTGTCACCTTGCCAAAAAATGCTACATTTATGGTCTTATATTAGCATTAGTTGACAGAAAGATGTTAAATTATCCTCATCGTTGTCATCTAAAGTTGACAACTTGCTGTCATTTTGAAGGTCATATTGTCATATCGATTTCACGAAAAAAAAACGTGAAAATTATGAAAGAACACAGTCATTTACAAAGAACGACCTTTAGTTATAATAATGTATATGTTAACGTTTTGGCAGCTCGCTTGTATTTTGAAATTACGGGAAGCACATGAAATTCATAAAATTGTGCCGTCATTTCAAAATGACGGCATGTCGTCATTTTTATGGTCATTAGCTTGGAAATAGAGCTGCCGGGATATTTCTCGTGATCCTGATAAAATATTTTCGCAGTGATGCACTGAACGATCGTGCGAACAGCGGAGCGTATCTATAGAACTAACCTATCGCCCCGCTGGAATTTAATTGAACGGGGCGTGAAGGCGCGCTCACTTGATTTCACTGTCAGTTTTTAGCCAAATCGACCATGACTCGACACTTCTCAAAAAAGTGAAATCTACTCAGACATCTCTGCTCGGGCTACCATGCCGGTGCCCAGGTAAAGGTGGCCACTATCACGACCGGAACTCATGCCAAATTGTTTCACCTGCCGATGTGTCTTATAGGGAGATGAACTGACCTCACTCCAGACCAGCATGGTGCCGAACACGACTTGTAGACCGTCGAAGAAGTTGTCTCCGACGATGATCACCGTGGATCCTCCGGTGGTCCATCCCTCGCTGGGGCTGATTGCCTTGATGCAAGGCGTTGCGGCGAATGGTACTGCGTACGGCAACGAAACGGCATGATGCCGGAGCTGCGCGAAAACGAGCGGAAGCCGCTCGTCGTGGCCGGTCGACTGGCGATGCCGAAGGCGGCAGCCGCCAACCAATCCGGGCCGCTTTTTCAACCTGTTGTGCTCTGAGAGCCTAATAGGATTTTCTCTCGAGAGATTAGGCCACCTTGGGAAGGAGGCAATTACGTGTGTCGCCGGTCGCGGCCAGCGCTTAAGCCCGGGGAACAAGCCGGACGCCGCCGCGGGGTCATCGATTTTCCGTCGCCCCCGGGGGACACGGCGCCCCTGACACCATCGGCCGACCACGCGCGCTCTACGGTTGCAGCGCGTCGAGCGGCCGCCGTGTCGTCAACAAAAGCTCTCCTACACTTTCATCTGGGAGCACCGTGACAATCAAGCAGCATTCATTCCGGAAAGCGGCAGCGCCTATGCTGCAGTTCAATTTTTGCTCCCTTTTTCCTGCACGGTGTGGCGATAGCGCAGTTGTATATCACAATAAAAGACACTCATTACATCCTGAGTTCAGAGAAGAAAACTATATTTTTGTGTCTCTGCTGGTAATATTTGGTGCCAACGTTTAACTATTGCCCCGCTTGAGTGTCGCCGCTCACCTTCAGTTGGGTCGAGTCGCTTAGCCCGTCGACCGTGCTTGGAGTTGTTGTGCACGAACATGTTGTCTGAGACTGCCAGCAGGGGTCCTTCGACGCTCACCTGATTCGAGATGACCACCTGCCACAGACCGCTTATGTCAATAGCCGAGAAAGAGTGAGGACACGTTGGTAATTGGAGCAGTGTTATTTCAAGAAGCTTTTCAGCCACTTCTTGCACTTTCAACTCTTTCAACTTAATTAAGGATATCAGTCAGCTGTATAAGTGATTGTGTATTTAGGATATTTAAAGGCACCGCGTAAAGTTCCACCATGGCGTGCAAACGAAGCCACCTGCCAATGGAAACAAGTTATGGTTTTACCTATGGGCGTTTAACTTCTGTGACATATTTTAGAACATGCTATCGAACGCTTGTTCTGTTTTCGTTGCGTAGATTACCTTATTATTAGATGGTGCTGTTTAAACGAACTCTTAAGTAATTCATGAGTGGTTTTCTCCTTATCTTTAGATCATGTTGTTATAACGCATGTATTAAATTAATGAACAACAAACATACTTAGAGAATGAATAAATATTGCTGTAGGAATTTTCTCTGCATGTAAGTACATTAGCAGCTGCGAGGTTCGCTTGTTTTGAGGAGCTATCACGGTTAAATTGTCGCGGTAAATACCAAGGCTAATAAAAAAAGAAGTACAACGCGATTCACAATCTGCACGCTAAAACACATAGTTATCGAGACAAAATGCCTTACTGTAACGCAATACGAAGTTGGAACAACTATGTTCCACAGATGGCTTCGTCGGTCATTTCGCGGAAGTGTTGTAGGAAAATCATTCGCGTTTCATCTCGATCGAGCGATTTTTTTTTGCATCGGCTGAGCTTTGTGGCATTAAGGAGGCATCCATAATTTTACAGCAATGGCCGAGAACAACGGTGATATTATGGATTCTGAAGCATCCCTTCGGAGTGTGTGGGACAGGCATAAGTGGTGCTATAGCACGAATTGGCAGGATTTGATGCAGCCAGCCTTCACCACAAGGCTAGGCATACAGGGAATATCATGGCATATATAGCCGTGCTTGCGTTTCGGGAAACAAAAGAACCGACGAAGCCACCCGAAATGAACTCTAGTGCCGGAACTTAAAAAAAAAATATTTCTCACCGAGACCACCACTTCAAACACCGCAACAATATATACCAACCAAGAAAAAAGAATCTTCTGGAATCACCAAGACAATCTTGAGTGATATATCGACCAAGAAGTTGCATCGGCACGCGACTTGGAGACATTGCACCACCGCCTTCTACTGAACGAATGGTTATTTGCGCCGCATATATGGTGTTTCCTGCTATGATGATGGTGGCAGCTTGGAGACTGTGCAGCACGTATTCGATTCTCGGCGTACCGCGACGACCGATTATTTTTCGAGCGTGATCTGGCCCTTCAAAGCAGCGATGGGTGTGATTGTTATATGCAAATTATCTGTCAGAAATCGGACTAATCAGAATGCTTTGAAGGCTCACAATTTCGTCTAGAAAAGCCACTATTACGATTAAGAGTACGGGGTTCACTTTGGCCTTTCATATTTATCCAAGAATTCTTTCCCCTGGAATGCAGAGCCACATGCATGCCAACGCATACGCAGAGATCCGATACAGAGTGTCTTGACGAAAGGCAAGAGGTTATTGCGAAATCCCGTAATAAATAAACAGGGCTCACATTAGGAGACAAAAGCTAAAGCCCCTCTCTGCTCCCATGAAGGAGCGTGCGGTGTCAACGGTTGTAAAACACGGGAAATCTGAACCAGTAATTCAAAGCAGTCATTAACCACGTAGAAAGTTGAGCGGCGTTCTCCCCGTTTTCGTGTTTTACAACTGTATAGACGAATCCCCAACACTTCTCACTTTTCCCGATCACGGCGGAAATGTGTCTTAATGTAACCTCAACGCGATGAGCCGTGCTGATCGCGGCTGGGCGGAAACATGCTGCTGGTGAAATTCAATGAGTTCTCTCCGATACCCTCGAATGCTTGCACTAGCGGAAAATAGCGTGTGATATTAACATACGCCGGGAGCTCTTTGTGTAGGAAAAACCAAGTGCAAGAGCGTTCCCGCCCTTTGCCTCTGTATTCATTCGGCCAACGTGACTGTGATTACAGCCGGTGATCTCTGACCGAGTTGCCTGCGTAGAACACCTCCTGTATGTGCCTAAACTTTGTAAAAGCGCATTCGTTCTGAAAGCAAAAGCGATTTTTACACCCGTATTCACAAACGCTCCTTGACTGGACTTTCACCCTTCACTTGACAGAGTTGAACACTGCGCCGCCGCTCGGCTGAAAATGAAGCTGCGCTACTCAAGAATTGCAGCAAATTATCGCTGATATGCAGTGACGTGTCATGACTAGAGATGGCGCTCCAATCGGCTTTCTCAAGTGAACGTGGAGCGTCGATTGAAGCGGCGTTCTAGAATACGGAGGATAGTCTAAGATTTTTTAATAGAGCAGAGGGAGGCGCTGTCTTGCACGTGACACTATTTTCGCATCTATAGTCCTACTACTGCTTATGAGATCCTTATCATTGGTTGTTTGTGACGGCGCCTTTAGGCACGCTGCCTGTACATACCCTCCATAGTCTCAACTGTGTGAAAGCGAGGCTGCAGTTTGAGCATGCGTACCTGAAACCGCCGCATGTCCCGCGGGTTGCCAGCGTTCTTGAGGCAGTTTTGGTTGCACTTAAGAAAGAACTTGAGGAAAAACCTGTGGAAAGAAAAGGAAAACCAGAAGTGAGCGACTGCTGACTTCACCACGCATGCTCCTAATTTCGCGTAATAAGCATCTCTGATATTAACTTTCGCAGCCCTTACAGAGCAAGAAAAGAAAACATTCAGTTTCACTTACCGTAACGACATAAAATGGGGCGATATAAAGGACGAAAGTTTTTGGCCACGTTCGTCTCGTCATATCCTCAATAGAAATTTATACACAAGGCTTATGAACGTATCGACTGTTGGTATTCAACTTATTTTTTGTTCATCTTTTAAATAGACTTGTGACATTTATGTAGCATGCACCTAATTACTCGAAACGGCAAAAAAAAAAAAAAAGCAGCGATCGTGGATACATGACGGAAATGGGAAGTGCGCGCGTCAGAGACTTTTTTTACCGAGTCTGGCGTCGGGGGTGCGTACAGCTGCTGCCACTTGCGGACACTGAGGATCCAGCGATGCGCTCAGCCGGCGCGGTGCATGGCACCCCCGCCGGTATAGCGCGTTCGCCGACGCGTCGACACTCATGAAACATGCATGACTCCCAGCGGTGTGCCTGAGCAGAGGCGCCGAGGGCGCGCCTAATGGCGGAGAGAACTGGTTCATTATGTATGACTGCATGGGCACCGGTTGCATATTCATTTTCGGCTGGTCCGATCGCGCGTCTTTCGCCGCGCGAACGCCCTCCCGGAGTCAAGGGGCGCTCGCCGTGAATTTTGGATGGGCCGTGACGCGCTCGCTTGCAACAAGAATCTCATGACACGCGGAGGCTGTCTAATAGCACGAGTGAAAACAGCGATAATCTGTACCTTTTCTCTGGAAATATTGGCAAAAAAAGAGCAGTCATGAGTCAGCAGCGTTATCAATCTGCGCGTCTGGCATTCACTTACGAGATGCACGAATTCTGCACTGGCGACCGCTCTCTCTCCTGAATACTCTCGCTCGTCATCTGACTTGAGCTTCTTTCTTCTCGGTGGATCTTTGAAGTTTCTTTATTATTCGGTCCACTCTCCACGTTCTCCTTCACTTAACACCCGCTAAAACCACCAGACGTACAGGAACTGTCCCCACTTCATAAATGTACTTTTTTTTCTGCATTCTGTGGACCTGTGGAATGCTTTACACGCTGATGTGATCCCTTTATCAACTGCTCGGTTCCTGTTGTGTACAGCTAAGCATTGACACTCGTATTTTGAGCATTTTGTTTGTGTTTCAGTGTTTCCTACTTCCTCTCCTGCAATATTCCTCCGAGGCTGCGACAGCGAGCTGCTAAAAAAGAAAATTGTTATACGCCTTGTAACAAAATGTTTAATAAAAATGTTGAGCGAAGTCCAATACTGAACTTGGTGCATATTGTGTGCTGCGGTGCCGCCACCCGGTTGCTAGTTGGCCGTCCACTGTGTGCGCTGGAGAACCACCATACACTGCTACGCCGAACAACTTTCGCCTGATCCGATCAATACCAAACTTGGTGGTGAGTTATGAGACCACAAAACTAAAACGAAACTTGTTCTTTAAACGAAATACTCCGCGAAAAACTGAAGAATTGAGAAGCGTGGTCGTTCTCACGCGGGGAGTATTTTGTAAACAAGCTTAGCTGTGCTGCATGTATTGAAATGCAATCATGCGCTTATTCGCTCCTCAGCCCTGTGCAGACAATCGGGCCACCTTCCGGAAGGAAACCAACCACGCTGCGCATGAAGACAGTATGCTATGACACCGGCACGTATCGAATGAATTCATCGCCATCCAAGATGGCGCCTTCGTATAGCCGCAGGCGTCAGGTGGCCTTTGTGAGGGGAAGTTGTCGTCGTCCACTAACCGAGTTAGGTGGTGTGGACGCCGGCCGGCCGCAACGCTGTTTGTCTTTGCCGCCATCAGCGATTCAAATATGCACCTCCCCCTGTTTGACTTCGGAGCGGTCCATCGACCCCCGCGATCGCCCCTTCAAGTCTGCCGCCGCATGGCGGGGGCGCCCTTTTCCGGAAGTTCAGGGAAAGCGAGCCCACACAACACCGCCTCGCGACTGCTGTCAATTGCTCTGCTCTTATAAGGTGAGGTAAAAGCATTTCGAATGTCACAAATGTTCATCCTGTGCAAAGCTGCTGATTGATTGATTGATTGATTGATTGATTTGTTGGGTTTAACGTCCCAAAACCACCATTTGATTATGAGAGACGCCGTAGTGGAGGGCTCCGGGAATTTTGACCACCTGGGGTTCTTTAACGTGCACCCAAATCTGAGTACACGGGCCTACAACATTTCCGCCTCCATCGGAAATGCAGCCGCCGCAGCCGGGAATCGAACCCGCGACCTGCGGGTCAGCAGCCGAGTACCTTAGCCACTAGACCACCGCGGCGGGGCCTGTGCAAAGCTGCACGCACAATCATAAAAGAAATAATTATTAAAAACATTTTTTTCAATATTAGTTGCCTGAGCTTTAACGTAACGACCATTTACCAATCCTAAAACTTCGAAAAACAGTCGCACATTTTCCCAGAGTCTCAAGCTCACACTCGATCTGCACACGTCATCTGCAACTCTTCTTGTAGCAGATAACTCAAGTCCACCTCTGCGGCAGGAGATTTGATAATGAAACCCTGTGGTGGACGACCACTCATGATGCTTACATGGGTGTTGGGCAGTTTTTATCCTCTTAAAATGCCGGCTCTTCAAGGGGCAACAAAGTTATATATTTTTTCTGTCGCTTAAAGGGGGGGGGGGGGTGCAACTTTTGGCGACCGCTTTTTCAACCGCTGCTTCTCCACCCGTGTTTCTGTGGAAAGAGGCCTTGGTTAACGAAAAGAATTGCTGTTCTTTGTGTGCGTGTGTGTGTGTGTGTGTGTGTGTGTGTGTGTGCGTGTGTGTGTGCGTGTGTGTGTGTGTGTGTGTGTGCGTGCGTGTGTGTGCGTGGGCATGTGCGTGTGTGCGTGTGTGCGTGCGTGTGTGTGTGTGTGTGTGTGTGTGTGTGTGTGTGTGTGTGTGTGTGTGTGTGTGTGTGTGTGTGTGTGTGTTTGCCTTTGCACTCTCTATGAGAGGAATACCTGTTTTTTGTATGTGTGTGTCTAACGCGTGCTCACAAAGTTGCCCCTGTGCGGAAATCATTCTCGCTTTCTGTGCGAGATCGATCGTCACCGACGGCAACCCCTCGTGAATGAGTCCACACGTGAAATAAGACGGGCCGGAAAGTCTTGAATCCACTCTTTTCGTGCTTCATACTTACCATCGAAATAAATATTTTTTTCATTCCCCCTTTCTTTCGCTATCAGAGAAAAAGGGGAAGAGACGTGCACCATTGACGACCAGCGGCGTTCATTTTCATGCGTGTAGTCTAACGGAGCGTACAGCAGAACCGGCGCGTGCTTGTTTATCATGCAAATCGGGAGGCGCGCAAGCAATGCCGAGGCGGAAAAGCCCATTCTGGAGGCGTCCTTCCCTCCGAAAGGTGCGCGGTAATTATTTCCTCCGGCAGAAACGTGTGTAAAAAGCTGCGCTTTGCATGACAATGCTGTCGGCTCCGCAATGTGTCTCCCCTGGGGGCCTCGTGGCGGGCCCCGGCTCGTCTGCGGCACACTTGCTCCCGTGCGCGGCGTCTCCCTCGTCGGGGTTGCGTCTGCGCGAGAAGCGCCGCCTTGGCGAGTTTCCCACATTCGCAATGATCCGCGCATCATAAAGGCAAGATGTTTGGCGCGCTTTGACAGAACAAGCAAAGCGAGCGCGCAACGTGTATCTTGAAGTCTCGGGCGACAAACGCCGCCGTTAATAAACATAATAGCACATCTCGCAGCAAAGGTTTAAATGCAATGTGTTTGAGCCAACATATACTGGAGCAGAGACTGCACACGCTATTTGCGGCGTAATCGGGCTATAGGTGGCCGTACCGTCTCCGCGGAATTGTGGATAGGGAATTGGTGGCCCGTATACAAATACACGCAGCGGTGCTTTGTTGCGTGTGGTCTGAGCCAATTGTCGGCGAATAAGACGCATTGACTGCATTGATTGATATGTGGGGTTTAACGTCCCGAAACCACCATATGATCATGAGAGACGCCGCAGTGGAGGACTGCGGAAATTTCGACCAACTGGGGTTCTTTAACGTGCACCCAAATCTGAGCACAAGGGCTTACAGCATTTTTGCTTCCATGGAAAATGCAGCAACCGCTGCCGGGATTCGATCCCGAGACCTGCGGGTCAGCATCCGAGCACCTTAACCACTATAGACCACCGTGGCGGGGCTGCGTTGACTTCAGTTTACCAGTAATGTGTACGCTCCCTTCTACTAAATCGATACACGAAGCCTCTGGCAACGCCGCCATCACCAGTGAGTAAAGCTGCTGACCCGCAGGTCGCGGGATCGACTCCCGGCTGCATTTCCGATGGAGGCGGAAATGTTGTAGGCCCGTGTGATCAGATTTGGGTGCACGTTAAAGAACCCCAGGCGGTCGAAATTTCCAGAGCCCTCCACTACGGCGTCTCTCATAATCACATGCTGGTTTTGGGACGTTAAACCCCACGCATCAATCAATCAATCAATCAATCAATCAATCAATCAATCAGTGAGTAAAGCGTGTTCTTCCTCTATGGGATATTCGCCCTCGGTGGCTGTCTGCACGCTTTCGCACAAAATCACCCTTTTGCTGTGTTGTTTGTACGCGGTTAGCTTGTGTTCCGCCCTGTATACGCACTTCTGCAGCGTGACTGAACTACTTATTTTTTACTTATTTCTCATCTGCGTGCAACAAAAAAAAGAGATATAAAGATCACAGAAAGCCCAAATATTTGGGTGATGTATTCAGTACCACCGTTCAGACTTACACGCATGTGCTTTTTTTTTTTTAAAGTCTAGTCACGAAAACTTAGTGGCTGACAGCGCTTTGCGCTACATCGCGTTGACCACGTATGCCCGCATGTATATACCTTGTAAGGGTTCAGCAGAAAGATTTCATCAGTCGAATATGACAATGCTACAACAAAAGTGTGGTTATTTTATGG